AATGCCTAAGGGTAGTTTTTATGTGCTTTTTATCTAAATATCGCTGTGAGAAAATAAGTAATATAATAATTGTATGAAATTTTACAGCTTTAAAGTAATAGAAAGCAAATGATTTATATAATGTTATAAAAATTTCAAATTTGACGTTATTTTTGTAATATATGCAACCAAAGAAACGTTTTTAGTATTCTGTACTTTTAATTTAGATGATGATATCTACTTCTTATTTATACAATTCTATAAATTTAGCTAGGCATTAAGAGAGGGCGCATATATTACAATAAAAATCATTAATCTTCCAATAATAAACATTCTTAATCGCTTAGAAATCACAAAATATATTTCTTCTTGTTATTATTAATTAAAAAATTAATTTTAAATTAAACATTTGAAAATGTAAAAATTTAAAACATTTGTAACTTTAAAGCTGGCGTGATTTATGAACTGTTAAAGCGTAAAATTAGTATTATTAATGAGTGCTTATTTTTAGAATGAAAATTTTCGTTCAACTCAACTTATTTTCTTATAGTTACTTTTTATACATAGTCGAATCTTTTAATAAAATTCACACCTTGTTACCTGTTTTGTTATTTGTTGATATAATTTGTTAGAATTAATAAAAAGTTTGAATGTACGCATAAAGAGTAAACAACGTGTTGCAAAGAAACGCAAATTTTTTTTTGGCCACTTTTATGTGTTAACTTTTATTTTTTTTCTGATATATTTTTTCATCATTTTGCATATTTTTTTAGGATAGTTTAATTTCATCAATTGAATTAAAATTCCAGTCAGCTAACTTTGTAATCGGAGCTGGTCGAGTTGGTGATGTCGGATAAAATGCTGATTGCATTTAAAGGTAGGCACGGTTCCTGATTATATATTTCAAACAAATCTAACAAAATGAACTTGTTTATAGATTTTCCATTCAAAACCCATCTTGAAGTTCAGTCCAGATTACATTTGTGAAAAGACTAAAATGTAGAGAGATGAACAGATATTGACCGAACCACATACAATTTTGCTAAAAAATAAGGCTTTAGCCAATGGTGGTTTTCTACAATCTCTTCAATGTCGCATCCATCACTGATTCTGTTATGAAGATAGGGAACAAACCAAGTGGTGAATTTGCTAAAACATGTAAACTGATTCAAAACAATCATTGACAAGTACGCGATCAAAAGTGCACGTTTTTCTGATTTGATGCTCTTCAACTATCGGAAATGAGGAAATTGTGATAGAAGTACCGCCTGGTAAAAGAGGGAATCAAAAATGATACGACAGACTATAAAGTTTATCTAAGATTTTATTATTTAGTTTCTTTATTTTTAACATCATTTGTACATTTATTTATCAATAAACACTGTTTAGCCACTTTTCCATTTTTTCTTAATTTCTTCGAAATTTCAAAAAAAATTTCAAAAATTAAGAAAAAAAAATAAGTAATGTGTATACCAAATTTAATAATTTTATCACGACAAATCAAAAGTCGTGACTCAAAGGGTTAGATAGTCAAGTCTATGTGTGAATTTTGGAAAACATACAATTTGTAACCATTTGTAAACATAATTTTGAGATACTAACACTGGAATGTGTTGCACATGTTACTATCCTTTAAAGTTTAGCTCATTTTGCACTTTATAGTAGTACCAGAAACGTAGCATTAAATGTAATAGGGGAAAATGGTATGGATATAGACTATGGACTGTTAGATAGTATCTCTAATATAGGTACAAAAATCATCCCAACATCAAAAATTATTCCAAAAATATAAAGGGAAAGAAAAGACAACAAGATCTGTGGTAAAAAAAACACTATACTAGAAAGTCCTAAAGATGCTAATATTTGTGATTTAAGGCACTATCAAAAATACATTTTTTTGTACTATTGTTATTAAGATTTAATAACATTAATACCTCATGATAATGACAAAGAGATATAAAGAATTACTAAAAATTTTGAAGTGTAAGCTAATCCGACTGCTATTTCTTTCAACTACTGCCACATTTAGTGAGCCATTTGTTACACTGATGTTCGAAGATTTTTACATCCTGGTGTAAATTACACTACTTAGAATAGTTCCCCATGTTTTGCCCAAAATCTTCCGGGATCGAGTTCAAAACATGAAGCTTTAGTTCCAGCTAGCTGTACCATTAACAGATAATATGGGTATGTTGTATATCATCCTGGATTCCAATAACTATTTGGGTTATAATTTGAATTGTATCAACTATTAAGCTTGACTTAACCAAACAATTTGTGACAAAGTATTTGATGGAAACCTAGAGAAAAATGGGTGGTCGACTATCAGTCCATGCTTTAAAATCATACAACAAAGCTATTAAGCAGTACATGAGTAACTATTCTGATGAGTAGTAAATCTTGCAAAATTGCAGATTTTTGAATTTGTATTTTACCATTATAGGTTGGTGTTATGTATGTTATATGGTATTATGGTATGTTACTATTCTAATTTGGAACATCACACTCAATAAATAGACGGAAATTCACCCGCCTAGGTCTTTAAGTTGGATCTTGTTGTAATTATTTATTTACTTATTATTTGTTCTTATGTACCTAGTATACAGCTTCATGTTCAGTGGCTGTTCAACAGGACTCTTTTTATTTAAATTTATTTTTACAATTTTTTTAATAAATATTTTTGTAGTAAAAAAACAAAAACAAATTATTCGTATTTTGCCGACTAATCTCTATCTAAAATTTCAAGGGCAATGCAATGTACCATCGCACTGTAAAAGATAAATCCATGCAATTAACTTTAATATGCAAAGTAGTGTTGTTTTCCAAGAATAGTCTAATTTTGAGATAAAAATAAATTTTCTTCTAAATACGATTTTTTTGATATAAGATTACATAAATGTGAATATCACGTAATTTCTTCGAAAATATCCTAACACAAATTTATAATTTCATTTGCATCCTATATCTAAAAATATTTTCGTATAGTTTCTAAGTGTTTGTTATACTTGTTCAAATTGTATATTTAGAGTTTTATTGCAAATATGTTATCCGTTGATCGCATAATATAATGGAAAAATATTTGTTTTTGATTTTTTTTATAGAATTTTATTTATCTTCTTTTTTTAATAAGCAATAATTTAATTTTTATAAGTAATAAAACTTTCAAAAATATTAGGTATCCTTCAAGAATTTTTTTCATCGTATTTTATAATTAACGACATTAATTAATATAATATTCATAAAGTGGGCAACACGTTTCATAAACGACGAATATCATTATAACACGTAATGAATTGGATTATAATTTTTAAGTTCTTCGAGGAATCATTAATTTTTAAATAGATGTAATTCTGTGTAGGAATTCTCTGTTACATATAACAATGCATAATCATAGATAATTTGCTAACATTTATTTTTGATCATCCCCTTATTATTGTTAAGTGCAGGTGTTGTTTGCACGTGAAACACTAAAATTTTTACGATATTTCTAAAAGCGTGAAATCTCTTTTTTTATATTCGCGAATTGGCTTTAATTCAAGACGTTTCAAACAATGCTTGATACTATTATAAAGTCGTAGTTAATAAATAATATCTAGGATGTATTCTACAGAGTATTTCTATGGTTGGTAATATATACAAATAGGCCTTTGGACGGTTTTTACATCAACTATTTCCTCAGAACTATCCTCTGAACTATCAATTTAGCATTTTTTGGTTTTTTTTTAAATTCAACGTACCAATTTTTGAAAATTTTCAGTTTCTTGATCTTCATTTTCATTATCATTGTGCTTTTCCGAAAAAACCTTCAGTTGATGAATGTCCAATTCTTCGAAATCTTCATCTACAAAAGCCAAATTTTCATCAACTTTTTCAAAAGCTCAGCTGATCAACATCAACGGCGTTATTAAAGTCATAAACACGAAGAAATTAACTATAGAAACAGAGAAACTGTAAAATATGTTCCTGAACTCTTGATACTGGTTTAGAAATCATATTTGAAGAAAAATTAAATATTTTGGTTGATATTTAACTTGCGTTATTAATTCCAGAAAAATTATTACTTTCGAAATGTTTTTCCTTTTAAAAATTACTCCTATTTCATTATCAATGATAAGAAAAGCGAAAAGGAAATGTAAATATAACAAAAAATTATGTTGCAATTAACTATATTTTTCAATGAAATTGATAAATTTGATTGAAAAAGTAATGATAATGTTATCAATGTTTTTGTGTTGATTTATATTTCAGAAATTATTCATTCTTACTCGTTCCTTATATCTATAAAAAATTAGTTGTCGCGAGTCAGAAGTTATAAAGTAATAAAATAATTTACGAAAAATTTACAGCTTCCATTTCATAAAAAAATTAAATAAATTTATTCGTTTACTGGCCCTGAATTTTAACTCTGATCGTAAAATTCTTCCTTATTTAATTCTAATAATAATCAACATACGGTCATAAAATTGGCTTTAATTGACATATACGATTATATTCAGATTTAAATAACGAAATAAAAATACGATGTGATTTGAACGTTCGATTAGAAAACTTATTTTTGGATTATGTACCGTTTACGATTTTTTTTTGATTACGTATTCAAAACGTTTATCGACTTTGAATAAAGGTATGTAAATAAATATTTTAAAGTGTATCGTATTTAGAACGTGATTGATTAACTAAATAGTCTTAATAGTTGTTGTTAGATGGTAATATGTATTACAAGAGTTGAATTTAAATATAAACAATTTAATAAAAGATGATTTGAGATTTATTTTCAATATTAATATTGGTACTAATAAAAATAATCAAGGTAAAAAACATCATAATTTTATTATTGGAAGTATTTATGGTATCTTTAATTCCATTAAATTGCGAATAACTACAAACAGATAATAATGATATATGGGTGACTAAAAATTGAGGCACTTCGATTATGGTAAAATGCAGTGTTATAAATATTTCATTGTTTACATAATAGAGTACGATGATATAAACGCGTCGTCCAAAGTAGTGGGGTTCGTAGTATTTCCGCGGATATTGGGTATTTAACGCCCAGTGTCCCCAGTAAGTTTAAGTTTTTGCTGAATCTACCTTCAAGAAATATCCATCCAATTTTATTTTCTTAAATTTTTTTTCGTGATTCTTTTTAATCTTTTAAGGTAAGTAAAATTTTTTTATTATTAAATTTATAAGTGCAATGAAAAATTATAAGAAATTTGTTTTCTCGATGGAAATTATTTTCTTATTTAAATTTTAATTTCAAATTTAAACCAACCGTGCTGAAAAAAAATCATCGATTATATTTTTCGCTTCTCTTTGCTGTGGTAAAATAATTAATCCAAAGAAAATTACTGTTATATTAACACACAAATAATGGTACTCGTCGTTTAAATGTAATGATTTTATAACCACGCGTATGCATATACGTATTTTACAAGGACATTGAATCGTTTGAAATGCAATTTTTTATGTGCACATTAAAAAAAACGTGTTTACAAATCTTCTTGAAGTGGTTTTTATTTATTATAATACAATTTTTGTAAGTATAAAACAGTTTTTTTTATAATACATTTTTCTCAAAAATTTTGCTATTACTTTGAATTGGTAGTGGTTTTGATTAGCATAAGGAATAACCCAAGGACAAATTTTCTAAAACTGCAATTCACTATCTTTTGTATTCGGGTAATTAGATTTCCGATTCAATACACATTAAAATTTGCATTATATATAAGCAAGGACAATATTTTAAAAGCAATTTGTATCTTACACCAAAACGACGAATTAAAATGCATTTACTGAAATAATATTAAATTTTGATACAACTTGAAACACTCGGATTCAACAAGATGCATAATAAACACTAAACGATCACGATTTGTGTGTTTGTCTCGCCTATTTGCATGGAAAAGTTACGTTTTACTAATGCAAGTCTACGCAGAATGTATTTTTAGGTTACGTAGGCGATTATATTAAGAGTACTTTGACTTGTTTGTAACTTTATCTTATACAATAACTTTAGGTTTATTAAATTACACCCAAAAAAATACAGTAAAATCTCGATGTAACGGATTAATATGGGGAAGAGAGTTACGTTATAGCCAAAAAAATTTTAATTTGTGCTTTAAACTATTTGAATGAATAATTTTAACAAAGCACACAAATTCGAAGAATCTAGCTCTGAATAATAACTAAAGCTAGCGCTAACACTAGCACTAGAACTAACACTAGACCCAGAACTAGAAACATTCGGGTTTATTAAGTCGGCTAAACCCGAATGATTCTAGTTCTAGGGCTAGTGTTAATTCTAGTTTTAGTTCAATAAAAATATGCAAAAGAGCAACTTGGGGGATAACCCGAGTTGGATTCTATCTATAAGCGATAACATTTATATTAAAATATACTTATTTATTAAATAGATAATATAAATAGTACGAATTAAAAATATTTTGTTCGTTATATGTGAACTTCTTTGTAATGAGGTTCGTTATATCGAGGATTTACTGTATATTCAAAAAATCACTACATTTACTATTATTTAAATGTTCATTTTTCACTAAATAATTAAATTAATGACTAAAAAATAAATTATAAACGTTTCAATTAGAATACAAACCCATTTAAACTTTATTTTCGTTGGTTTTACAGTTATAACCATTTACATTAGCAATAACCATTAAGTAAATGGACGACTGAAATGTAATTTCTTGATAAAACTAAACTAGTTATTATTTTTTTTTAAGTATTCCGAGGACTTTTAGATAATTAAAAAAATCAGTTCGATACTTCTCTGAATAATAAGATTATAATAAAGATTTATTACCCCTCTATTCGATATCAGTACATTTCATAATTTATTGCTAGGTTGTAAATAATAGCTTGTGCCGTATGGGTATTAAATCCTTAATTGTTGATAAAACGATATCTAATTTTATGATTTTGGAACATCACCTATAAATAATAATAAATGAATAATAATTAATTACTTAAAAACAATTTTTGTACAATTTCAGATGTCTAACTGGGGTTATTCTTCTTCAAATGGTAAGTTTATATAAAAACATTAAATTACCAGTTACACCCAATAATTTTCTAAATCGAAGTTTTATTTTTCACGTTTATTTATATACGTAAACTTGCTAGACGTAAATTCTATGAAATTTGCCCATCATTTTATTATGTCTTTTTATTGGTATGTTTACAACGCCATTATCAAAGAAAATTGGTATATAATCGATTCGTATTGTTTCGTAGATATATATGCACGTGATGGTGCAACTCAAAAAAAAAAGAAACAAAAAGTTATAAGGATGACCCCCTACATTCTCCAGAACGCAAACTAATTTAATCGATTTATTTGTACTGCGGGTCCGAAAAGGGAAATTGTCCATTAGCCCTAATTATTGCATGTATTTGCCTCTCTTTCAGAACGTCCGACGACGGTAATGACCTTTAATTGTTCAGTTTGCCAAAAGGCTCATTTATTAACCACGGGAATATTTACCGATCCACTTTTAAAATGAAATGTGTTCATAAATGTTGTGTGTAATAAAAAATCGTTTTAATATATTTTTTTTTGAAATAGGACCTGAAACTTGGGCTGAAAGTTATCCAACAGCAGCAGGACCTAGACAAAGCCCCGTGGATATTAAAGCGGTTAATTTTGAAGTTATGAAAAAATTAGATTGGAAATATAATCCTAAAAATACTATTGATATTTGTAATACTGGTTATGGATGGAAGGTACATGTTGATGGAAAAGGGTCCGGTAAGATATCAAATAAAATAATAACAAATGTTATTTATTTATACAACTAACTTTAAACTTTGTATGATTTAATCCCAAACATTCTTTTATAAACCTAAAAAGTTTTATTTCTGAATTTCAAAATGTTTGAGAGAAAAACTGTTCAATCTGTAAACTTAAATCTTGGTACAACTCAACTTTAAATAATCATATACTCCAAAACATGCAGAAACCATCTGATGTCCAATATTCTTGTGTAGAAGACATAGTTCTTCATAGAAAACTCATATTATTGGTAACTTTAACTTTAATATTAAAAACAACACCAAATAATGTGATGTGTTACTTTTACACTTTTGACCATTTTTTCTATAGTTCGATTCGCGAAGTGAACAACTTATACGAAGAGTGTCTTCAAAATGGGCGTCTGTTAACCGCGAATTCATTTGGCAGAATGATTTTTCACATATATATGTAGAGCCAAACATAATACTAGTATTTTGTAATTAGGGAAGTTTTCTGAAACATTTTGTTCCCAAAATTCTTCGCTGGAAGCACTTATTTTGGTTTTTAAACACACATCTTCCTGTTAAGCAATTATCTCCAGTTGAAGTGAAGCCTTTTAAAAGATTAAATCGCTTTATAGCCATATAAAGAGATACTTCAAAAGGCAACTTTCAGAATTGCGATAGCATTCCTATTTCAGTAAAGTCTTTGAATCTTGCATGAAATTCCTTCCTAAGTTTTGATATAAAACTTAAAAGCACAACAGTATCCATTTCCCTATTTGCTATTAATTGCTGTTATATTGAAGAATGGTTGGAAAATGAATAAATTGCTTATTTACGACAACATTTTCAAAAATATCCAACTTGCGCCGAAAAACAGACACATTTTATATTAAATCAGATATTAACTTTCCATTTTCTCGCAACTCTACGTTCAGCGCATTCAAATATTTTAAAATGTCGTCCAAAAAAGCCATATTTGCCATATTGGAGCTGTTTTGTTAAGAATTTCAAGTATTTTTCTCTTCTAATCTATCCAAACTTTCTAAGAAGGCGATCACTTGCTCTTTCATTTCCCAAAAATACTCTTGACGTCAAAAACTAGATATTATTTGACGTTAAATTACTGCTTATTAATTAAGGCCAGCATCCAGCATATTGAATAAGATATAGAACTTGTTGAAATACGTTTCTTAAATTTCAGAATTAATTGGAGGACCATTACAAGGAAAATACATTTTAGAACAATATCATTGTCATTGGGGTGCAACAAGTGAAAAAGGATCAGAACATACAGTTGATGGAATATCTTATGCAGCTGAGGTAAGATACACTTCAAAATGTTTTTTTTTTAATATCCCTAAATATGATTGAAATAATATTGATTCAATTTCAAAACCAATTTCTCTATGTCCTTAAAACTCAGAGAACTGTTTTTGATAAAAAGCATTTCAACTGTAAAAACAATGATGCAACCCAAGTTCCAAAAGTGCATTTTGCACTCTAAATTTAAATAAGTATTTGAAGTGAACCTTCACGAATGTCAGTCGGAGTAAATAAACTCCGGTTGATGTTTATTTGAAAACAGTCCAAAAACAATAAAAAAGAATCTTAAAATTAAATCATCGGTTATCGTTTAAAGTTAGAATGACTTAAATTAACTTTTTAATTTTCAAAAATATAGATAGTTTGCATTTTGAGTTAAATGAAGGTTATCGTGAAGGTTGGTTATTAATTATTAATTTTTAAGACTAGATTTCTCTTTACTGTAAACTCCGTAAATCATTTACGTCATTTTGTAATTGACATGACTAATTATTAGAGATATACTGCCATTGTTGTTAAGAAAAAATAATAATTGACCTACATCTTAAGCTTTTCTGTTGATGTTACGTGATAAAATTCCAAACTGGTTTTAGAGTAATAATAAACGAATTTAATGGGTTTGTTTTTAAAACGATTTAATACATCGTAATTTTATCACGTATAAAGAATAAATTATATAAAAGTTTGCTGATTTTTCATTTCTTGGTGAAGTATAAAATTGTGTTATTTCAGCTTCATTTCGTACATTGGAACGCTGAAAAATATCAATCGTTTGAGGAAGCAGCTCAACAACCTGACGGATTATGTGTTTTGGGCGTTTTTTTGAAATCTGGTAGACAACACGATGAAGTAGAAAAAATTGTGTCTTACTTATCTAATATAGAGTATAAAAGCGAGCATAAAAAAATAAACGAGGCAATTGATCCAAACCAAATGCTACCTCAAAACAGTAGCTATTGGACTTATTTGGGATCTTTAACAACTCCTCCGTGCTCTGAATGTGTAATTTGGATTGTTTTTAAAGAACCTATTGAAGTATCAGAGAAACAGGTAAAAATTATTTGTAATTAAAAATACAAATTTAATTTTTTAAATATTTTTAGTTGGAAGCCTTCAGATCTTTAAAATCTTATTGTTGCGAAGAGGGTTGTCCTTGCGACGATTTTTCAGGTTTCGTAAAAACCAATTTTCGCCCAACGCTTCCATTGGGCCAAAGACAAATTAAAGAGTGTCCAAATTGTTAATTTTTTCCACATGTAGCTGGTGCAAAGCATTTTAATTATGAAGTACAAATATCAATAACACGTCCATACATTCTCACATTGTTATACGTTAGCACGTTTTATTGCAATAATATTAATTCAATGGATCTGTATTGATATAATTAGATTTTATATTATACGCATAAATATACAACGACACGTGGAATTGTGTTACTCAGGTGCTAATATGCAAGTATTGTAATATTTTATTCTTCGAAATATAATAATGTATTTAGCAATTATTAACCAGTACGTAATAAAAATACTAGTCAATATTTGAGTTATTTATTTATTTTGAAATTAATTGTTATTTTATGTTGGGAAATTATGAAATGTACAAATTAGAAATGAATTGTTAATAGAAGTGAATTGAAGTCTTTGGTGCCATCTTTTATAGAATAGGCCAAGTGACTACAAGTATAAATTAGGAATTTATAATGAAATGATTTTAATTTGGGATGTAATGAAACAACATTTTATTTCACATTTATTTCTTACAACTTCACATGAAATGTAGTTTATTCTTATTAAGAATATGTTTAAGAATACATTTAGTTATCATTTTTGATCGAGGTTTAACTCAAAACCTTTAGACCAAATAGACCACTCATTTTACCTATTTGTATATAGATTAGTTGAATGTGCATTTAAATCATATTTATATCTATATATTTATATCGTTCTACAATATTACCTACTCTATAACATACCTACACCATAATTAACTACTATATAAATATTATTTGTTTACGAGTCATTTTAAATTTATTTACTAATGTATAGGTATTACATATTAAGACTCTTAAATTATATCGATTCATAGTAATTGATTTAGGGCCGATTTTAAAATTGTTTTTTAAATTCATTTTAGGAATAAGATGTACCAAGATTATAAAACCAGCCCTTAATCGGAATAAGTATGTATTTTTAAAGATTTTTATAATAATTTTATCTGAAATCAAAAATTTCTTTTCGAATAAAAACAAAATAGTGCTCTTTTCTAATATTAAATTCACTTTATATCATAGATTTTATCACAGTCATACTCATTAAAATTTAAATATAAATATCTTTAAAGTATTACATTCTTTTACACAGTTCTTAAATTTTAAGTTTAAAAAGTTAAGTTTGACATTAACTCTAAGTCCTAAATTTTAAATCTTAGACAACGCAACTTATATAAATCAAAACTTGCACATTTAGAAAAATATAAAAGAATATCAACCTGTGATATTTTTTAATATAACTCTGGAAAGGTTTGACGTAAAGTTTTAAAATTTGTGTGGTAGTAGATAAGTTGATATAATGTCTTGTGTATTACACTCTCCGCATAAATATCTATCAGATGGGAAATCGAAAGCATAAAGATACAATACCATGCCGATTATGAAACGCTTCAGATCAAAGTACTATTGTCTTCACACGTCTTGTGCATAGACAGAGATGCAAAAGGGGCTTTACGCTTGACTCGAGTCAGGTAAAGCCCCTTTCTCATCTCTGCCTATGGTGCATGTCAAGTGCAGATGACAGCACGCCAACGAGCTCAGTTATATGCCTTTTGATTCTCTAATGAGAATTCATGACAACATCGAAATAGCGCTACTTATTTGATATAGCCAAAATCAAATCAAATATGGAGCACCTCTAGCTCCATTACAAACACAAAATCTAACTGTGGAGGTGCGTCATGCTGGAGGTGTGATTGGTTTGTATTTTTCGCCAATGAAAAAGATTGTCACGTTATGGTCAATAAAGTTCGCTATCGTGCTACTTTAATTTGGATGAGTGTACTTGGTGAGCTGCAATCATCTATGTTTAATTTAAAAACACCACTTGCATTTTCTAATCTCCATGTTCAGTTATGGCAAATGATATCTGCTTTTTTTTGAGGAGATTTTCAGCTATACTAAAATTTCTCTCTACTAGATAAAGCCATGTACTGAATTTGAAGAATTTAGAAAACTGAAGAAGAATTGGAGGAACATAGACTTAGATGGTACTGTAAAACTGAGTACTTGTAGCCAAAGATTTTGGCTAAAAATTAACCTTATCTTACATTCTGTCATGGTATAATTAGGCTAATCTTACAAAACATTCTTTACCAGGATGATTGACATTTCAAAACAAAACTAACTTTACCTAACACTATTTAATGGGATGATTGACAATCCTAAACAGAACTAACCTATGTATATGATCAGGGGCGTTATCTAGTACGATGACAATACAAGCTAATGTTGAATATTTGAAATTTTTTTATCTTCTTAGACTGTACAGCACTAGTTACGAGAATACTGTTAACGACTGTTGCACGAGTTAATTTCTTACCATATAAAGCTCCATGGTATTAGACAATAAAGTTTCCCCCAGTTTTCATGTATTTCATGTTTAATGATATATATAACTCCCATTACCGTGTTTTCTGCAATAAAGAGGGGTCCATTCGGTTATTACAGCTCAGAAGACTTCTTTTGGAGAGTCACGCAAAATCTCGATCAACACTGTCGGACGTTTACAAAAGTTATCCGTATTATCTAAAAGTCCGGAAAATTCATCTTCTTTAAGTTGGACCATTTCAAAGCAGAATTTTCGTCGTTTATCACGTAGAAGTCGTTTCACAGCACATGAATTATAAATTTGAAACTGCAGAAAAGATGAATATAGTCAACGAAGTACCTCCAATAACTTAGAAGTGAACGCGAAAAATGTATCTAAACCCTTTTGTGTATCCATTTTTTTTGTTGGTTTCTAACACATTCACTATATCTTGCAGTATAGTACACTTAGTGATTATGTAAATAAATATATAACAAAAATTTACAAAAATTATTCTTAGTAAAGAAAAGGAGTCAGTTACTTTTTTTGAAATATGTATGATGTTAGTTAAGGGTTAATGAAATACGTTAAATCAAGTGATATCGCTTATGCAAGCACGAATGGACTACAGTGGGGTACAAACAAAGTTAAGAAATTAAATACTTAGTATGTAACACTCGACACGTGGTCACGAACCCTACTTGCTTTCAGCGTGCATACTGTGTTTTAATCACGTCGTTTTCATCGACCATGTAAACGTCCTTTACCGCTATCTATGAGATAGCTATAAGTTATCATAGCTTTAAGACAAGATCGATCCGAATTTGACCGACGGTGATGCATGTTCGTTCAATAATATAGCTCCGCATCTAGTAGCAATGTGGTTAACACTCCGAATGGTTTCCTGTAAAGTCAGAACACAAGTAGATTATCTATCAAGAATATTTGTAAGCCACGAATGTCTACGACAGGAAGATGGGTTGTCATGTTTGCTTTTTAACATTGCCCTGGAAAAGGTAGTATGAGAACATCATGGTGGAGAAGATACATTTTGAAAAGACCAAGTATATGGTGGTAAAGGTTAGCGGTAGAAATATACCACAACATTTGGAAGTTGGGATGACAAAATAAAGACGGTTAAAAGCTTCGTATACTTGGGATCCCCAACGAATAATAAAATTCATTTGGTCAGCAAGGAAATCCAAGCCAATAAATGCTTCCATGGACTTAAAAACAATTTCACATCTTAGCTACCAAGAAAAATCAAATTATTCCTATACAAGAACTTAACACAACAAGTACTTACCTATGGGTTGGAAACATGGGCCTTAGTGCAGAAAGACCAAGAGGCACTAAGGAGATTTGAAAAGAAAGTGTTTAGAAGAACATATGGCGCTTTTAATGACAACAGTGTCTGGCGTCGGTGTTAAATTTATAAAAGTGTAAAGGTTGAGATTGATTGACCATGTAGCCAGAATGGGCACAAAAAGTACCGCAAGAATTATCTTTGATCGTGTGGACCTTTGGGCCGAAGACACGATTGGTGGACGATGTGGAGAAGGACCTAAGAAGATTGAAGATCTGGAGTTGGAGACGACAAGCGCAGGATGGACAAGTTTAGAAGGAACTGTTAAGCCAAGGTTGGCAACGAGCTGTAGAGTCAAGAATGATGATGTGGATAAGCCTTGTATTGGTTCATTTCGCTTGTAATGTCATCAAAAAGAGTGTTTGTGAGAAAGTGCTCAAAGATTTCTAAGGGATCTTCTTGCAACAAACTGATCCTGGATTTGGGCCGTCAAATGGTCTATGTCTACTTATCAAAAAATATAGGGAATAATTAAAAGTTAATTAATAGTTATGATCAAAAAGTGCTAAAACTAAAGTTTAGTACAAGATGATATATAAATAAACAAATCTAGTTTAACTGCTACAATATGGTCTCTATGGTCACTTTATGGTCCAAAAACACAACTCTTAAAAATTCTGTATTTTAAAAACACCGCGTTCTTTTCACATTTAATTTGCTAATCGATAGATGATGAAGGTTTTATGACATGTCGGTATTCATCAGTATCATATGGAAATGGGGGAAACTTGAGTGTAGGAAACCCGATAAACAGTAATAAATAATGTCAAAAATAAATACTTTGAGTCAACGTATTCTAAATTTATCTAAAAAATATGCTCATAGATAAGTTGGTTAATGAATATTACCTACACTCCTGCTCTCTTCTAATACGTCTCCAAGGTTGTCTAAAAGTACATTCACAATGGTAAGAAATTGTTTATTTTTGGCGATTAAGCTAAAATTTTTGTCTTTTCTCTGTAATTAAATAAAATAACAAAATTAGAAACATTTTCCAACAAATTGTATACGATTACACAGCGTTTCACACAATTACATTTTAAACTAACGTCCTCTGTGATAAACGAATACTTTTCTGAACGGTATGTAATCCGTTTAATCGGTGCATAGATCGTACAGAAGTGCTGCACCCTAAGGGAATTGATTGTGTATCGGAGTGGTTGATGTCCGGGTCGTTCGATTGACAGAATACCCCGCAGAGTTCCGAGTTCATCCGACGAGTCGCCTCCTGAAATTGTTAATTAATCGAATTTACTGGTCGGCATATTTTGATTTATCACATTTCCGTCTAACATCAAAATTGAAATTCAAAATTGAAATTGAAAATTAAAATTCAAAATTAAAATTCAAATTCAAATTCAAATTCAAAATTAATTTATTACCTGTATTTCGATCATCCTCCTCGAATAGATAATAGGATTTGCAAGCGTTTTCAATACGAATAGAAAGAATGCTAAATGAGATAGGAATAAATTGAGTTCAATCCCAATATTATCCGGGATCCTATCATAAACACATCCGTTTTTACAAAATAGGATAAATTTTAATAATGACGGTACCCAACCGATTAAGCACGATCCCAATATAAGTAATGTAGTACAAACGGCTTTAATTGTACCTTGCATAGCACGTTTTTGTTGGGAACTGTTCGATGTTATGTGCCGACTTCGTTTACTTCCAGATCGAGAAAGTTTTTTCCATTCTATTTGATGTTGTATCACAATTATCAATATGTGAACGTAAAGAAATACCATAGATATCAACGAAATGAAAAAAATCGCAGCAAAAGTCATTCTGAATTTAAAATCTTGTAAAAAATCCGGGCAAAATTCGCTGTATTTACTATGAGCGAAGAAATATATATTAAAAAATGTTATGGGTAAGATCCATAAGAAAATTATGATTATTGTCACTCTTCTCGTTGTCATCATAAAGGAATAATGTAAAGGCTTTAAAACTCCCAACCAATGATTCATGCTTAATACCAATAAATGAATTACTGTTATAATAATACAACTGAGTCGATACATTTCAATGTATGTAGCAAAGTAACAATTTGCATGCTTGAATAGGATATTTGCAACTATGCTGTATCCTAAAAGGAATGATGATATAGCATCAGCCGCAGCTAAACTTAAACTCATATGAATTGTTGGAGATATAGGTTTACGCAGCCATCTTACAGCTAAAAGCACTTTTATATTTATAATTACGCTGATTATACAGAATATTGTTAATATTGGAACTGTATAGAAAAATACGTAACGATATTGATCTATTAAATGACCTGTATCGTTGGTATTATTATTATATTCCATTATAAATATCTGAAAAATAATAAAAACATTATGAATAAACATTTTTATTAAATATATAAAAACTTACTTTTAGTTAAATTTTTAAAATGGGATGTTCAGCAACAAATTCATTTATCCATTTTTAAATCCTAGAACAAAGAAAAACATGAAAACGTTTCATAAATAATAAAAACTTTATTCAATCAAAAAGTAGTGTGTGGTGTATTGAACGCAGCGGTTTATATACTCAAAGCACGTTTTCAATTGGACCAAGTTTAAGTTTTTTCATTTGAATTTTAAAAGAATTTAAAGTTGTATATTATTTCAAGCGGAGAACAATTACGTTTAAGAAACATCTAATTTATCTCTCTTTAAGAAACTGTTTATAAAGGCATCAAAAACAAGACAAAAATTAAAAAATTAAACGAATTATCAAGTACTCAATAAGTTTTAATCTTTACCTTAACATTAATTATTGAATTGGGAAAAGTACCATAACCTCGAGGTTACTAGAAAAACTGCTTTAATTTTTCAGTAGTCATAAGTAATTTAGATTAAATCAGTTTCATTTAGTTTTACTGGGTAAAAGACAAGAAACACTAGGAAATTTAATTTAATTCAATGGAACACTTAAAAGAAAATTCAAATTGTTTTCATCTCTTTAATCTTTTTAGAATTAAACAATTTATAGATAAAAATCTTTTATTTTAACGTTTTTTTTTTAAGTTCTTATTCAATTTTTATAAATACTATATCATTTCCAAAGAAGAGACCAACATTAATAGTTCAATGTCTCTTATTTTGTAATTTTTGTTCCAGAACAAGCACATCAATCATAAGAAATTAGAGCGCGCCGCGATGAGGGCACAAGGGGTATTTCGCATCCGGGTGCGATCAATCAGGGGGCACATTGCACGTGATGAAATTGCGCCTTTATATGATTTCCATGCAAAAATGGAGAGAGTGCGTAAATAATTTCGTTCAATACTTGAATCAAACAGAAGGATTTTCTAGATATTTATTTATTGTGTCCACTACATTACGAATGAATTAATGCTTGTACTGAAAGACAAAGACTGTTAGATTCTCTACGAACAGTCATTTTTAAAAGAAACAAGTACGGACTGTTTATTTGTAGTTTCCGGGTGTGTTAATTCGCCAAGTGTGTCAATGGATTTAGTTAGTAACACAACGGTTAAAACAATACAGAGACAGATTAAGGAATTTAGATAACTAAGTGCTTTCGAATATACAGGGTGATTCTCAACCTATACGCATAAATTTGAGGATTTATTCTTCGTGACAAATAATAACTAATAGGTAAAAAAAATTGTAGTAAAAATTTTTTAGTTTCCTAGATATCCATGAAATTTGGACGCTCTGCACACGGAGCTAAACTGGGTTGGTAACTTGGGTCACTAACCAGTTACTGACTTATTAGTCTCCACACACGAAGCTGACGGATGCAGAGCCGCCAAAAGGCATCGTTCTGTCAACTGCAGAAGACAGTTCCAATGAAACAAGTACAACATTAAACTAAAATTAGAACTAAAACTAGAAACTGGTTCGAAGTGGTTCGGCCACTTCGAACCAGTTTCTGAAGAAGGTTGCAACATGGCATCCGAAACGTCAAACCTTTTATTAAAAGACGCACGGCAAAACCCGAAAGCTTCTAGTGTTAGTTCTAGTTTTAGTTCTAATTTTAGTTTAATTCACACCGGCCGCGAAAGCCTTCGTACTTATAAAATATAACATTATATTAGAAGGCGAAGAATGAATGAACAGAAGCAGGCTTTGGGTCCACCTCTACATGTAGTTTTTTTCTTTCCACACTTGTGGTGAGGGTGGCAGATTTCCTGAAGGCTTCCCTGGTTCCTTGATGTAAAGAACTGTAAATTATGGTGCGTTTGAAGGGTATTACGCCTTCTTCTCCTTTATTCCTGAGCCACTCTTGGTGGTTTCATGTATCAAACAAAAGCAGCTCTTATGTTCTTCTGTTTGTTTTTCCTGTGTCCTGGTTTCTGGTTTAATGGGTCTATTTACATAACAGATATTTGGAAGATGGAGATACATTTACATCGATTTCGCATCACGGCTGAGACAACTCAAAAAGATTTAGCAATTTTATGGAAGAGAAGGATTCGGTAGATGACCACGTCATGGTACTCTGCAAGTCTAGTGCTTATGCCAGGCAATGTGTACAAGTCTAATTGCTTCTCCATCCTGCCCAAGCCTAGGTTGAATACTGCCATCTTCCCTATTATGTTACACCACACGTAAACAGGATTCATGTGCCGGATGATATGTACATGGAAACTTTTCTGCATAGAGACGACCCGAAAGCTCAGAATTTTGCCATGATTATCCTCCCATATGCCAGTTCCATGTCCATAAATTCTTTGTTATAGAAATTGTGCTCCATAATTTCTATAAACACCCTAAGAATCACCTTTATAATTCTTAATAAGATCGCTTAGAAGTATTCAAATAAACATACAAAATGAATCCTGAAGATATCGTGTAAAGTAATTGTCAGTTTATCATTTTCAAGGATTTATTACGACTTTATTAACATGCTATGGATATTTACGCTTGACGCGTAAACCAAGAAGAAAAATTCATAACTTGATTAGTGTTTACATGAAATTCAATTTTGACATTACATGTGTTATTTATGAATGGAACAACAAATAGAAATACGAACTGTTATTTGAACATCACTTTTAGATCAGTATATTTTTCAACTCAACGTATATATATCACGACTTTATTTATTTTCAGTACACGTTTTTCGAAGATAAGTTACAGTTTATAACAAGTACCGTGAGAATACGAGCAATGCGGGATTCGTTTTGTAACCGTAACACCTGCTAGAAACAGAAACGTCATAAAAACATTCTTGAAAATGTTTGAAACGTTATTTCTTTAGTTTACGTTCAAGTTAACTTCTATTTCGTTATTTTACAAATGCCATTTTGAACGTGTTAATTTCAAAATTTTATTGCTTACATAAAAATGAAGCACTCTTCGTTCTCCATTTGATCACACTTTCACAAAGAGACCCTTTCAACGAATTTTGTTGCATTTCGCTCTGATGAGTACTAATTAAAGCTGTTGCACACGCTCTTTGATTTAACTAGAATTTTCTCGAAAAGTGGTAAAATGAGTTTAATTTAAATAATTCGAATATGTATTTGATATTTATAGAATGCAATTTTATTTTAAAACTCAACTTCAAACCATAAATTTAAATATTTTTAATTAAACAAACAATTATGTTACAGACTTTACCTTATATTTCTATACTGACGTTTAGCTCATACATTTTAATTGTGATATTACGTTGGAACGCTTCAAAGCTAGATCTGATTGCGTTGTAACACCAATTACATTTTAAACAGTCTGGAATAACTTGGTTTCAAATAACTTATTACCACAAACATTTTATGCGGTAGACAAACAAGGAATTTATTTATATTAAAAAGTTAATTAACCCTTTTGTCTATAGATACAACTATTTACTTTTGTAGTCGAAAATAATTGTTAATTTGAATAATTAATACAAAAATGAATGCTTGTACGCTTTGCAATATCCAGATAAATTCGCAGTATTCGTATCATTATTGCGAAATTAGTAGTAAACCGGCAAGCATATTATACTCTATCGATATGTAATTTATGATCCAATCATTTCCAACCCCTATATATAGCCAATTATTTTAAAATATACTGCTAAATGTAAATCTGTTCGCTGCTACACATACACTAATCGTATTGAAGCGTTTTGTACTTAAATCGTTTAAATCCTTTAATCTTCAATTGTCATCAAGTATCGCTTTTAAGTTTTTCGTCAATAATTTTAGTACCACTTCTATTATTTAATCATTGTTTTGGTCATAACCGCTGGAAGATGAACCACATGTAGCATACATTTTTGATGCTGAGAAGGTATTTTGTGTATTCTCCTATTTATCCACACATAGTCTCTTGCAACAACTTGAACACATATAATTGCACAATACCTCATTGTGAGCCTTGGTCTCATCTATAACAAACCTCCATTCAATTTGGGCTAAATTGCCCTAGTTCTGCACCTACAGGGCGCTGAAATCCTCCCAACATTGTCCATCCAACGCGCCCTTGGCCTTCCTCTTAATTGTATTATCTGTGGGAATCTTTTTAATTTTTTATGAAGTATCTGGGTTCAATCCATCAATAAAGTTATCAATTTAATGCTTTTGAAGGAAAAAACATTCATAAAAATACTATTACAAAAAAAAATGGATGCATGACACCCTCCAAATCTCGATCTGCGGTCTTTAGCAACTATTTCAGAAGAAACAAGAAATTTATAACACTTTTTTTAATGAAAATTGTTAGAAATTATATTGCATATAAACTCAATTTATGGACGGATATGTATTAGTTGTTTTACACTGTTTTAGTTTGATGATTGATTTGAATTCCACAATATTCATAGTACGTGATGCAATTACTATACCCAATTTGTTCGTATTGTGTGAACTTGATCCAAAACGAAGGTGTACACATGCAGATTTTGGTATCGATATAAATATTATGCGAGTTAATTAAAATTCGAACATTCCATTAATTAATTTATCACAATTTTAATCAAAAAATTATATTGAAATGTTATTTAAAAAAATAGTATGTCGCTTTAGAATAAAATTACGTTTCATTTAAAATTTAAATTTTATCTTACATTTTGTTAGGTATGATCCATAGACTAATGTTCTAGAGTAAAGCTTTTAATGGACGTATAAATCGTAAAACAACCCGAAAATTTTAAAGGGGGTTTCTAAACTCGAAGAACCGTTTCATCCAAATTACGATGATTTATTTAGCTGAGAATGAGGATTAATGAACTTTCAAGGTAGCAATAAATTTAATCTGTCAGTAAAAATTATCAAAATTTGTTTGTTTATCGTGTTCTTTTAAAACATCTCTATTATTTTAAAATCGAATATTTTCAAATTGTTAAACTACAATTCACGCTTAAATAACCGTTATTCATTGCATCGTTTGTACATTCAAATTTGTTACCTGTTCAATCGAATAAATTTAAAACCGTGTGAAATTTTATTTTATGTCATAAAATAT